GCCGCCGGGGCCGGGGTGAGGCAGCCCGGAGGGCGCCTGCTTCCTCGGAGCCGCGTCCACCTGCGGAGGGGGCAGCGCGGGGAAGGAGGCGGCTGATTCTTCCCCCCACACACACCCCCGGAGCCGGTGCGCTCCACCGTCAGTGCTGTTCCTGCCTGTGATCTATCCTCTGGTGGTGATGGGACATGGCTGTGGCTCGGTGGTGAGCCTCGGCTGTGCTGGAGTATGCGCAGTATGTTTTCTTTAATGTGTTTTTATTCTCAAGAATAGCTTAAAAGCTGAGAGCTTGTAACCCTCTCCCTGCCATGCTCCACGTGAGGGTGGACCTGGGGCTTGCGAGGACTGTACTGACTTGGACACGAAGTTGAATCGTGTGAGGTTTTTAGCACTGCATTAGAACACTGAACTATTTTAACGTCTTTGTTGTATAACTCTCACTTAATTTGAAAGCAGAAGGATTGGACTGGGCACGATTAAACAAAATCTAGCAGATGCCATGTGCCACTATTGGTTTCAATTGCCTCATTTGCAAGCCGGCTAGAGACTGGGAAATCTAACCGGGCTATAAGCTGGCAGGTGTGGAGTGGCTACTCCACTGACTCTTTTTATAGGGAGGAAAAGGCAGTGCTTCTGAGCATGTGGAAATGTTTGATTGTGTTTGGCAGCATTGCAATTTTAATAATTTAAAGAGTCCAGAGATTGAATTGAGGATACGATACTGCTTTACTGTGTGAGTACTGGTTTCTCCCCCACGAGCACTGCTGAATTTTCTTTGATGGCTCTCTGTGTTTTCATCACTATGGATTTTAATAATCTCAAAGTATCAGAGTATTGCATAACTGTCTCAGGGTCATAAAAGTGCCAGCACACCTGTAATAAACGGCCTTTGAGGTAGTGTGCCTGCTTCCACCACTAATGATGGTACATGTCACTGTCAAGTTGCTTGTGTACTTTAGGCATGGGACGACTTAACTGATAGGGTCTGCATGTACAGCTATGGATGATCTGTGCCTGCCTGCAGAAGAGCTTTCTGTACAATGAAATGAAGTGGAGTGGTAGATTGGAATAGTTACAAGAAGAGAAATTAACAGGAAAGGCCTATAACTCCTCCTGTACCATTACTACGTGTTGCTTAAAAGCTATTACGTTCTAGCTTACCCTAAAGTCACTAATGATGTTACAGTTCCTCCTCAAATAATAGCAGTAGTTCTGTGGTGTTTCAACTAGAATTCTTTTGGAAGCAGGGAGTGGGGTTGAGGAAGGCTCTATTACTTTCTTTTCACGTTTACCTGCCTACAACTCAAAGACATTTCTGAAACAGTTCTAGCACAGAACAGTTTTACTTGACCTATCATAAAAGCATTCCTTTAAATAACAACAGTCTTTCCTAGTTTAGGAGGCCACGCAGCTCTTCTTCATCTTGCATGGACAAGAATGCTTGAGCCAGGTCTTGCAGGAGTGCTGATACTTCTCAGGTACCTTGTGCCTTGTGCAGTCCCTGTGTTTTGGTTAAATATCAGTGATTAATGTTTACTTACTGACTGTGCTAATAAACTACTACTGACTGGAGCAAAATACTTGTGATGGATGAGGGATTGTTTTCTCTTCTTGTCCTAATAAGAATAGGGATGCTGCCTCAAGCTGGCTAGACTGGGTAAGAGCGGGTCTGTTGGAGGGGAGGAGGGCTGGGGATTTTCCCCCAGTGTAGTAGAAGAGCACTTATCACATCCTCTCTGACTTTTGAGTTTTGCCCAGCTGCAAAAAACAGATGTAATACACGGATGGAAATGCAGGTAGATTAAATTCTGTGTTGTTCTTGCTTTGGTAGTGAACTGCAGCGGTGTTAGTCTCCAGCGCAAGCTGGATCGCAGGTTTCACTTCAGCAGTATGATAAAAATAGTTTTAACTTTGTGCCGGTTGTTAGTAGTCTGTTGTACATCTTAGCACAGTCTGTAAAAGTTTCTAACTGTTCCAAGGACATTCATAAGGAAAACTGCCAAGTTTCACTTAAATCTAACTTTTCTATGTAAGGTGAAGTTTGAAGTTGCTTGTTACTGCACTGCAGTCATGAACAGGCCCTGTCATGGGGATGATTTTTGATATCCTGGCATGGCAGTCTTTGAATGGGAAGTTTTAAACTTTAAAATCAGGCTGAATTGTTTCCTTGTTTTTACTGTTGCTGCATGCTGTGCCTACAGTGTGATCTGCAAGCTGCCAGTTTGAGTGCAGTTTTCCAGCTTCCTGCTAAATCCTGCATTAACTTCTCAAACTTACTATACCAATCATTAGTATTTTAAGGTTTTGTCTTTAATCTCGACTACTTAAGGTGAGCAAGGCACAAAAATATTTTCTAAGCTTCTGCATAGGCAGGCCTGCTGTATTTGTCGTTTGTAAACAACTGGAAGTTTTCAGAAGTACTTACATACATTGGTTCTTAAGACTTTACTCTTACTGGAGAACAACTGGGTCTCTTTCTCAAAACATTTTCAGCAACTTGAACTCCTTAAGATGTCCTGGAGGAAAGATGGAAGTAGCTTTCCTTGTTTTAGGAAGGTTGTTCTTGACATGAAGAACATTATCTTATCCTATAGCTGATTTTGAGCTCATAGTGCTGTGTAGGGAGTTGAGTTGATTTACAGGAATACAATTTGCAGGGTTGGGATTTGTATCTGAAATGCCAGAGCAAACAGATGAGCAAGTTTGAAATATATGTGAAAACATTGCTCAGATTGATGCTTGCTATTTCAGTTAGCTGCAAAGAAATGACTGACATGAAATGAGTGATGTCTATTAGGACAAGGATTATAATCAAGTCATTTCTAGCAGCAAATTATTACGTAATAGGGACTAATGTTGTGAGAGCAGCAACTTGTCTGACCTTTAACTTCTCTTTATTTTTGAAAAAAATTAATATATTTTGTGTAGTGTTCATTTCTGGGATAGCAAGATTTTATGTGCTTGCTAAGCATGCTTTTTTGAAATGCATGGAATATAAAAATCGGAGGAACTCAGAAGGCATTTAAATTCAGAAGTTGATCTTCTGCCCATTTAAGAAACCTGGAATGAAATCTGAGGAATTTGAAGATCTGTCTTTCCTCCCCCACTGTTAATTCTTATTTGACTGGATTTATCTCCTAAGATGTGAAGGTAATACCCATTGTATTCTGTAGCTCTACAAACGAGTTACTGGGAGATGATCTAGGGTATAAATTAATGCTAGGCAAGTAACTGCCTGTTGGTGTTTAACTGGAGTTCTCACTGCAGCAAAGCAAGGAGCTTACCCTCCCCGTTTGGGAGGGAGCGTACATACATCATTATAGTGCCATAGCTGGTAAATTCACTTAATGAATTACCTCCATAGCAGGTTGTTCATGGACTTTAGATATCCTAAAGCTCTCTAGTTAGTTTGCCTGGAGTCTATCACAGAGAATTCCAGCTGCTTCATGGGGACATTTCTCCTTGAGGTAACAAGACTAGTTTGTATCTCATTCTATTGTGAGAATAGATCTTTATGCTCAATATGATCTGTGAAGCTAAATAAGTCTCTTCTCCCTTTCCTGTTAACTAAACAGAAAAAATAGCTATGCTGATTTTATAATGGTTAGTAGCTGGCTTCTCTTTAAGGTTGGAAAAACTTCAAGCAGAATGTTTGATACCAAAGATGGCATCACTGAGCCATGCATCATCCAAGGCAGTCTGAGAAAAGTTACCTGAGTGAATGCAGGTAAGCTGGGTATGGAAATTCCTGTTTGATGCCAGCTTGATGAACTCATGAGCAGGGCTAACAGGAAATCAAATATAATGTGACAGAGAAGTCCATTTGGGCCTCTGCAGAAATGATTTATGAAAGACCAGCTTCTTTTAAAAGAATCACCCTGCTCTTCTGTATCCTGGAGGAATAGGTAAGAGATCTGTCAAAGCTGTAAGACTGCACAAAGTGCCTTTTGGGAAAGGACTCAGCTTACAGCTTGGTTACTGGGCCTCTACTTACGGCTTGTGTACGTTGTGAGGGATGTTCTGATATGCTTTTGCCAGGAGGGGAGATGTCTCATCTAATTTTTTTTTCTTGTTCTAGATGTATTTCCAGCTTTATTTTCAGTGCAGACAGTGAGCAAATGACTGATTGCGTTTTCAGCCCTACATACCAGTGATTTCTACATGGCAAGGTGGGGTTTGTGTGCTACTGCAAGTCTTGGCAGGTTTCTCTTAAAAGACTGGAATGGAAGCCAAAACCTGGAAGGCAGTGGAGTTGAAGACTTGAACTAATAGAAGGTTGTACAGGTTACAGACATGGAGTGTGGAATGTAATTTCCAGTAAATTGGTATTTAAGATTAGAACTTAATTTACTCTTATGCAGTTGTTGCTTAAGTGAGATCAGAATCAGGTTCCAATCTGTAGCTAGTGTCAAATCGTAATACATTTTTTTATTTTTTTCACCATTGCCTTAGAGATAGTCATGTTGAATTTACAAGTTCTTGTTGGTCTCAGTAAAATATTTGAAGTATATTTTGAGCAATGTGTTGTGTAATGATTCCAGGACAACAAGATTGTTTGGGTTTTTTTGTTGTTGTTGTTGTTTTTTTTTTTTACTTGGATTGGAAATCATAGAAATCTGTTGGAGAACATGTGTCAACTGCTTGTACTGACATGTTATGACTACTTCTTGTGTGTCGTGTGTACTTGGAAAACTTGTTCTCACCTCTTATCTTCTCAAACAGGGTGGTACTGCTG